ACACAATCAGCTATAAGGTTCCGAGTTTGTGCTAACAGTCTTTGAATGACATTAAAAAATCAAAATATCACCAAAATGCACTAGAAATATTGTTTTATACTCTTTTCCTCCTTTTCCCTGTCATTAAATAACTTACTGTAACTCTTTCCAAGCACTCTATCACTTAATATATACAAGGGGACTTCAAAAAGTTCATGGAAAATTGAAATAAAAAGATGATGGAATTTTCTCATAAACTTTTAGAAGCCTCCATGTGTGTGTTTGTGTAGTAGTATTTTAGTTTAAAACCCAACCTAAAAGCATCTGTTTGATTTTCAGTTGATTCCAATTGAGGAGGACCCCATATGTTAAGAGTAGAAGTGAATTACATTTCTTGGCTATAATCTTGATGAAAGCCAATTACCAGGTCTTTTTTCCATAGAACAATTGGTTGGATTTGAACCACTAAATGTTTAGTAGGCTGAGCACAAACCGTCTACCGGTATACCATTAACTAACCTATAGCTCATTTACTAGCATAAGACTAAGCTATTTCCTCATAAGAAAATTTGAATGATGAAATTACTATTGAAAATTTTATTTCTCTAATTTAAACATTGATGATCTGAAAAACTATAATTGACAGACTGGGGTACAAGACACTTGGAAAAGAAGAGGATCAATGTTCTAATGTGATAGGTTGTCACAACGGCTGCACGGTGGGTTCAAACAAAGCAGGACTGTAAGTGGCGAAGGAGCAGGTGTTGTTTCCTTCTGTTATATGTGGTGTCACTATGAGTCAGAAGGAGATCTGGTAGCATAATGGTTACGAATCGGGCTGTGAACCGCAAGGTCAGCAGTTCGAAACTACCAGCTGTTCCATGGGAGAAAGAGGAGGCATTCTGCTCCCGTAAAGATTTACAACCTCGGAAACCCTGTGCAGGGTTGCTATGAGTCAGAACCGACTCCACGGCACTTAACAACTATGAGTCAGAACTTACTCTGTAGCATCTAACACCAACAAGCATAAAAATGGAAAATTAGAGACTTAATTAGCATCATTTCCATTTGGCACTCCTTGTGTGGTGCTGTAGGATAAACACTTACCTGCACCTGCAATGTTAAAGGGTCAAATCCACCAGGTGTTCCTTGGAAAAAGGTTTCAATACAATACAATACAGTATTGTTCCTAGTCAAAACAGACTTAGTGGCACTTAACAACAACAATTAACAGAAAGTGTTAAATATGCTAATTATTCATTTATAGTTAGTGTTTGTAATTGTTAAGTGCTGTGGAGTTGGTTCTGACTCATAGCTACTCTGTATAGGGTTTCCAAGGAGCAACTGGTGTGTTTGAACTGCTGACCTTGCACTTTTTGTTTGTCAAGCAGACCTTTTGGTCCAGTGCTTATCCCAAACCACCAGTATGGATGGTAAAAATGAGTTTTCAACAGCAAATTATTGTTGATGTTAATATATCCCATTGAGTAAGTTCTGACTCATAGCAACCCTGTATAGGGTTTCTGAGGAGCAGATGAGTTTGAATCACAGACTTTGTGATTAGCAGTTCAGTGCTTACCATACAGGACTCCTGGAAAAAAAAATTGTTGCTGTTGTTAAGCTCCATCTGGTCGATTCTAGCTCATAGCAACCCTGTATAGGGTTTTCAAGAAGCAGCTGTGGGTTTGAGCCTTGTGATCAGCTGTCTGGTTATTTACCCTACAGCACCAGGCCAGCTCTGGTAGCGTAGTGGTTATGAATCGGGCAGTGAACCTTAAGGTCAGCAGTTTGAAACTACCAGCCGCTCTGCGGGAGAAAGATGAGCCGTTCTGCTCCTGTAAAGATTTACAGCCTCAGAAACCCTGTACAGGGTCGGAACCGGACTCAAGGGCACATAACAACAATAACACCAGGCCAGACTAACAACAAATGGGGCAGATGAATATTCATTTTTACTTTCTCTTTAACTGAATGTTTTCCTGGATTCCTGGTGTGGCTCAACTTGACTGGAGGCAAACATTCAGAGCACTTCCCAGCAAGCAGCTGATTCAGGCTGAGATCTTTGGTGTTAATGCCCCTGACCAGACTTTGCTGATTTTCTGACCTCCTTGCTCTTTAAGGGTTTGCACCCAGAATACACAGGGTCACTTCTTTTTTAAATCCATACTGTACTGATGCTGTTGGATAAGCACTTGACCAAAAGGTCAGTTTGAACAACAAAAATAAAACAGTGAAAAAGGAGGATGAGAGAAGAATTGGTGCATTTGAATTTGGTGTTGACAAAGAATATTGAACGTACCATGGACTGTTCCAGAATGAAGAACTCTGCACTGTCAGAATTCTCAGAATGTTCCTAAAAAGTGAGGACAGCAAGACTTTGTCTCATGTAATTTTGATAAGTTAAAAGGATGGGTCAGATCCTGAAGAAGGGTGTGTGCTTGGTAAAGTAGAGGGTCAGTAAAAAGGAAAAAGACCATCAAAGGCAGTGGCTGAAACATGCACTCAAACACAGATTTCAAAAATAGGTTTTAACTATTGTGAGGATGACACAGGACTGGATAGTGTTTCGTTATGTTGTACATGAGTTATGTTGTTATATTATGTTGTCATTATGTTGTTATGAGGTCATTATGAGTCAGAACCATCTTAATGGCAGCTAACAACAACAAAAGATAAATCAAAGACTGGGGCTAAGCTATTTATTGGGTAATTGTCAACTTCAAAACTCTATGATTGTGTGAAATATGGAATATATTTTAAGCGATTCAAACTTAAGAAAAACAAAGGTTAAAAGTACTCCAAATTTCTATATTCTTTTTAAGTCACTTCCTGAAAAAAACACTCAAAACTTAGACTATGGCCCTTAGACACCCTCCAAGTCTGGAAGTGAACTTTCCATGAATTCTCATGTCTAGACTTTCAACCAATAATGGTTGTTGTTGTTAGTCAGCTTTCACTTAACAGTAATCCTGTATAGGATTTCCAAGTTTCAGCTGGTGGATTTGAACCATCAACCTTGCAGTTAGCAGTCAGTCCAGTGCTCATTCAACAGTGCCATACCTGGAATCCAGGTATGCTTATAAAGTAAATAACAACAACAGGTAGATACATATGCCTCAGAATAATCCAAGATACTGGACCAAAAGAGCAGCATTTTCCCAGGCCCAAAGCTCAGAAGTCAGGAAAGAAACAGAAAAAATGACAAATACAAATGGAAAACCAGGAATGAAGTAGGCAGTGTGCCTGTTGCATTGTGAGGATTTCAGTCAGTGATATGAAACAAAATGTTTATAAATGTGTTGAATGGTATATTGATTTGCTCTTTAACTTTCACCCAACTCACAATAAAGTTAATAAAAAACTACCACCACCACATCAGCAAAAAAATTTGATAATTGAAAACAGGAAACAAGCATTTACTATCTCTCACTATCCTTTCACTCTCCTAACTTCTGGTAGGAAAGTTTTCTAGGTTGAGGATGATTTGCTTGGGGCTATATAATTTCTTATATAATTCATACAATATCCTAACCTTTCATTTGTTCATATATTTCACTTCCTGTTATATTTATAATTTCTTGCAGTTCTTAAAATCAGAAAGCTGTGCAATGTATTACTTAATGACTCTTCACACCATAGTTTACTGAATGACTGGGTAGATCTATGCAAATGTGAAGTTTTGTGGCTCACCATGGGGACTGGAAGCATCTGTAGTGCCAAGAGAATTAGACAATGCCATGGGCTTCCTAAGCCACAGAGTGAGAAAGTTGAGCACCATCAGGCCAGAAGTTCACTTATGGAGTAGGTTGCCTCTAGGCACTTAATTGGGGGCAGGTAGGTTTGCCAACCTACAAGATTAGATCTGAGCATTTATGGGCTGAAGTTCATCTAAGAGAAGGGTTCTCTTTGAGCTTTATAATATTGGATGAACAGGACAGAGGCCAAGTAGCCATGTGGCAGAGCAGCCAAGGACCAAAAAGAACTGTATTCTAAGCATTTCTGACTGTAGGCAGTAACCTGCTAAATTCCCTAATAGCCCCATTAAGCGTGAACAAATCTGTGATTGTGTGTGGTCATTGCAATGAATTATAAAACCCAGCAGAGAAGTAGAGTGTGCCTGGGAGGCACAGTTGGTGTCATCATTGGTAAAAAAGGTTGGAGGATGGAGGCATATCTGACCTCAGCCTCATCAGGCTAACCTCAATCAGCCTTGAGCTAATGCTGAGTGTGATTCTTCACCTTGGTGAAGCCAGAGGAGATCAGATGCCACTCTCATACCATTTTTACCCAAAGTAACTTAGTAATTTGCAGTTGTGGGGTTTTATTTTCTTGGAGAGGGTAGAAAAGAAAGAGGAATGAAAAAAAAAAAAAGCCTTGGATGATGTCCATGTTGTGGCTACTTCGAGACAAGCCCTACAAGAATGAATACGGGTAGAATGTTATTAGTCCCATGTTATTGTTGTTGTTAAGTGCTATTGAGTAGGTTCCAACTCACAGCAACCTTGTATAGCATTTCCGAGAGGAGTCGCTGACCCATGTTGTTGTTGTTCTATGCTGTGGAGAGCTCATTAAACGGCAGTAAAGAAAGAAAAGACAAAAAGGATATCAGAACAGAGTCTGAAAATTGCTCTTTAATGTAGAGAAGCTAAAGCAAATGAAAGATGTAAAGTAAAAGACTTAAACAGAAAATTTCTAAGGATAGTTTGAGAAGGCAAACATGTACTGTAGTAAAACATGCAAGGCTTGTGAGAAAATCAAAAAGGAAGATACTTAGAATTTCTCAATCTGGAAAAAAACTAAGGGAAAAATATAGCCTTAGGTTGCAATATTGAAAGATTCTGTGGGCAAGATATTTAACAATTAAAGAAGCATCAAAAGATGATGGAAGGAATATACAGAGTCAACGTACCAAAAATAAATAATCAATGTTCAGCCATCTCAAGAGGTAGCATATGATCAAGAATCGATGGTATTGCCTGATGCACAGAGCTTCCGAGGGTGCCGGACGCCCTACTGTCACCATGAAGTTCAACCCCTTCATGACCTCGGACCGCAGCAAGAACTGCAAGCGCCACTTCAATGCTCCCTCGCACGTGCGCAGGAAGATCATGTCGTACCAGGTGTCCCAGGAGCTGCGGTGGAAGTATAACGTGCGCTCCATGCCCATCCGCAAGGACTACGAGGTCCAAGTGGTTCGAGGACACTACTAAAGATCAGCAGATTGGCAAGGTAGTTCAGGTGTACAGAAAGAAGTATGTCATCTACATTAGAGGGTGCAGCATGAGAAGGCTAATGGGACAACTGTCCGTGTGGGCATTCACCCAAGCAAGGTGGTTATCACCAGGCTCAAACTGGACAAAGATCGGGAAAAAAAATTCTTGAACACAAAGCCAAATCCAACAAGTTGGAAAAGAGAAAGGCAAAATAAGGAAGGACTTATTGAGAAAATGCACATCTCTGCCTCCATCTCAGCCATCACTGCTTATCTGGGAAGGGTCCCACTCTCACTAGTATTTCTTAATTATGGTGTCCATGTACTCCATAAAGTTACAGAATCTTCATTAAATAAATATTTTGTGGTAAGGCTTAAATGATATATTTAATTGTGGCATGTTTGCCAGAAGATGTGAGTACATAATTATTTAGGACAACAGTTTTTCACTACAAATCTGGTGAAGCATGATGTTTAACAAGTTATGTAAGATTTTTCAGGGGTGGGGGTTTGCTTCAAGTAAAATGGAGCACAAGAAAGTGTACTGAACCAATTTGATTGGCATGCCTAAAAATTTACAACCCAAGAATGAATATAAACTGTATGGAACCACAGTTTAGCCCTAGATTTCAAGCATAGTGTGTGCTCCTTGGAAACTCTTCAAGATGACTTTGGAATATTTCATTTCCATTTTATTGGTATGTGTTATTGGTATGTGCTTCTGTAAATCTTCCTTTGCAACTTTGATTACCAACATTATGCATAAAAATTGGAAATGTTTCCTAACTGTAAAAAATGAACAACAAAAAAGAATTTATGGTATGGAAGGAAAAGATCTCCTCAGCACTAAAGGCACTGGTGAAAAACCATGACTTCAAACACTGACAGAATGTTACAATGATCTAATGCAGTGCTGGAGACACTGACTCCTCTATGTCAAGAAATGTGTAAGACAGCTGCTTGGCCACCTGATTGGAGGAGATCTATATCTGTGCCCATTCCAAAGAAAAAGGACACACTGGAATGAGGAAATCATTGAACAGCATCATTAAAATCACATACAAGTGAAATGTTGCTGAAGATAATTAAAAAAAAACAAACAAAACGATTTCAGCAGTATATTAACAGGGAGCTGCAGAAATTCAACCCAGATTCAAAAAAGTATTTGGATAGAGGAATATCATTATTGACATCAGATTATCTTGGTTTATTTCAGAGAATGCCAGAAATATTTTTAATTGTGCTTTATTGACTTTGCAAAAACTATATGGACCATAACGAATTAAGGTAACATTGGGGAAAAAGGAAATTGCAGAGCACTTACTTGTGCTCCAGAGGAAACTGTAAATAGAACACAAGGCAGTCATTTGAACAGAACAAAGTTTACAATCCGGAAATATATGCATCATGGTTGTATCCTTTCACCGTGTTTATTCAATCTGTATGCTGAGGAAATAATTCTAGAAGCTGGACTATATGGAAAACATGCCTTCAGGATTGGAGGAAGACTCATTAACAAACATGTGATATGCAGATGACAAAACCCTGCTTCCTGAAAACAAAGAAGGCTTGAATCACTTACAGATGAATATCAAAGAATTCAGCCTTCAACATGGATTACAACTCATTGTAAAGGAAACAAAAATCCTGATAACTGGACTAGTAAATGGCATCATAATAAACAGAAAAATGACTGAAGTTGTCAAGCATTTTATTTTATTTGGATCCAAAATTAATGTTCGTGGAAGTAGCAGTCAAGAAATTAAAGGATATATTGAATTGGCAAATCTGCTGCAAAAGACTTCTTTAAAATGTTCAAGAACAAAAATGTCTCTTTGATAACTAAGTTACCATGAAGTCTTGGGATTTTTTTATTGAATCATGTAACAGTTGGACAATAAATAAGCAAGACGATAGAAGAAGCAACACATTCAAATGATGGTATTGGGGAAGAATATTGAGAGTAACATGAGTTGCCAGAGAATAAATGAATCTGTCTTGGAAGAAATACGCCCCTGAGAAAGGAGAATAGCAAGATTTGGTCCCATTTCCTTTGGACATGTTATCAGGAGGGACTAGTCCTTGGAAAATGGCATCATGCTTGGTAAAAAAGAGGGTCAGTGAAAAAAAAGAAGACTCCCACCAAGGTGGATTGGCACAATAGCGGCAACAATGGACTGAAGCATAGCAACGATCCTCAGGACGGTACAGCACCAAGCAGTGTCCTTTCTTTTGTACATCTAGTCACTATGAGTCAGGGCCAATTTGACCTAGCAACAACATAGATCGTACAAGGGTACCTGAAAGATGAAGACGAACACAGCAAAATATGCTGAAAAATAAAAAATATATATTTTCATTAAAATTTTATCTAGAAATATTTTCCTTTAATGATACATTTTTAAGAAATAAGATCAAATCCCATCCCAAGAGATATTTGCGTCAGGTTTTAATCTAATATCCTTCCCTGCTTTGGAAGGATATGATGTCACCTGATATGTACAACAGTACAAAAATGTATGTGGGAAACCGAATTTTTTTCATGAGCTTTTTGAAACTTCCTCCTATTTAAACTTTGTAGAAAAAAGACATCATAATAGAATTGTGCTGAATATATAAGAAGACTACAAAGGAGGAATAATTATAATGCATGGTTCTTTTATCTAACATAAAGTCAAGCAATTTCACTCAAATAAATTTTATAAACAAAGTCATCTTTTTATTTCTGCACATGAGAAACCAAAACACTCCATAAGCCAAATAGAACAGTAAGAACTTTCAGTTTCTTAAAATATCATCGGTATTTTTTAACTGAATATTTGTAAATCACATGTAAATTATCTTTAGTATTAAATATGTTATTTAATTACATATATTAAATAAATATTAAATATTTTACATTTATTAAACATTTTACATATATTAAACAAATATATTACATATATTAAACAAAGTAGACATGTTTATTTTGATTGGATAATTTTAAATGATCAGTGAACTTCAAAAGGTTAGTTTGAATTGTAATTTTCTACTCCCCATGAAAATTGATATATTGTATTTGCCTTAGAGTTAGATAAATCATTTAGACTATTAATTATATTTGCCAATATTTAACCAGATATATTCAGTCATGTGGAGTCCTGGTGTGGCATTGCCAGTTAATGTAATGTACTGCAATGTCCGTTTGAACCATGAGGTCGGTAGTTCAAGCTCACCAGCTGCTCCTCAGAAACACTATACAGGGTCATTATGAATCGGAACCGACTCAACAGCACTTAACAACAACAGGCAATCAGATATTTAACTACATATATCATTAAAACCACATATTTCTAGAAAACACTAATCAGAGTATTTTTTATAAACCTGAAGTTTGGGGTCCAGATTATGTACAGTTATATCACATTTATTTAAAAAGAAAAGATAATGCTGTCTATCACATTCCATCATTGTTGTTGTTGTTGTGTGCTGTCAAATCAGTTCCAACTCCTAGCCACCCTGCACAGGGTTTATGAGCTCTGCTGGTGGGCTATCATCCCAGTGCTTATCTTACAGTGCCAGACCAGGACTCATGGGATCAATGGTGGTGGTGGTAGTCGTGAGCCATCAAATTAGTTCTTACTCATAACGACCCTGTATAGGGTTTCCAGTTATAGGAGCAGAAAGCCTCATCTTTCTCCTGTGGAACAACTGGTAGATTGTAACTGCTGACCTTGTAGTTAGCAGCCCAGTTCATAATCCACTGCATTCCCAGGGTCCCTCATGGGATCTGTAGAATGCTATAAATGTGAAGAATAGTGGAAAGGAATATTAGGGGGTGTTTGCAATAAAACTCAGTATGCTTTTATTTGTCCATGCACAAAGTTTAGAAATTAGGAAGATTTAGGAAAGAAGGAGAAGTGGTAATGGGAAACACAGGGAGGAAATGGAATGAGTGATACTAAATTGTGGGGCTTGCAATCAATGACCTGAAACAAAATGTGCATGGATTGTTGAATAGAAAACTGACTTTTTTTTTTTTTTTTTTCTGCAAAACTGCTCAATTCACAATGAAAAGTAAACAAGCAAAGAAAAAAAAATCAATATACTCAAGTGTTTGGCGCCTATGTGTATGTGTTTAGAGCATTTTAAAATCATCTAAAGTAAAGAACATGGGCTTCGTAGTCAGTAGCCTAGACTACAAATAAATGTTAGCTTTGCCATGTTCGATAGGAGGCAAGTCATAGCTTCTGTAAGTTTCTGTTTCCTTATCAGACCCCAGCAATTCATAAAGCACTTGCACAATTTTGATTTTAATTTTATTTTGGGCTATGTATGTAAGATGGACAATATATGGAATAAAGAAACCTGCTTTAAAGCACAGATCCCTGGGAGTCCACTAGGTACTCTGAGGGAGATGATGGGGTTTCTGCTCCTTTAACAATCTGGAGCCTTGGAAACTCTATACAGGGGCACTATGAGTTGGAATTGACTCACGGCACACCACCACCACCACATTTAAGCCAGGAGCTCTGGTGGCATTGTGGATTACATGGGGAGCTGTTAATCACAAGGTCAGCAGTTCAAATCCACCAACCATTCCACAGGAGAAAGATGAGGCTTTCTGTCTCCAAATATTTATAGCCTTGGAAACCGTCAGCAGGGTCGTTATGAGTCAGAGCTGACTCCAGGGCACACCCACTTCTCTCATCACCTTACAGTCTTTCACAAGAACATTCAATAAATTGTAAGTATCATTACTTTATATATTTAACTTTGGACCAGGTACAGAGCAAAGGCTTCAAAATCATCTTTAAAATTCACTATAGCTCTATGAGACATTGTTGCTGTAGTTGCTAAGTGTTGTAGAGTTGGATCCAACCCATAACGACACTGTATTGGGTTTCTGAGGAGTAGCTGTTGAGCTGTTGAGCTTGAACTGACCTTGCAATTTAAACAGCTTTGTAGTCTGGAGCATTAACCCACAGTACCAACGAAGGATGCTGTTGTTGTTGTTAGGAGCCATCGAGTCTGTACTGACCCACAGCAACCTTATGAACAGGAGAACGAAACACTGCCCGATCCTGGGCCAACCTCACTATTGTTGCCACACTGGACTCCATCAATGCTGCCACTTGGCCAATCAAGTGGGGGTCTTCCTCTTTTTCTCTGACCCTCTACCTTACCAAACATGATATCCTTCACCAGCGACTGCTCCCTCCTGACAATATGTCCAAAGTATGAGAGATGAAGTTTGGTCATCTTGGCCTCTAAGGAGCACTCTGGCTGCACTTCTTCCAAAAGTTTCAATATTCTCCTC